AGATTCTGGAAGTAATTTTTTAAGTTCAGTATTAAGATAAGAAATTATTTGAAATTTGAGAAAATTATAAGTTTTTTATTCATTAATATATGAGAATTGTTTTTGGTATGAGTTAAAGAATTTTGAAAACCATTTGTCAAGTGCTGTGCAATATGTTTTAAAGGAGGGGATTTAAAAAGTTTGTAAAAAACTTTGTGACGAAATATCGAATATAATATAAAAAAATTTGGCTAGATATTTTATAGATTGGCTATTAAAATACTTTTTAAAAATGTAATATTTTACTAATAAAAAATTGTTACAAAAGTTATTTTTTACTCTGAAAGAATAGCTATTTTCATTATACAAAAATAATTAAAAATAATCAATAAACCCAAGAACTTTACTTAGAGACAAAGTATGCTTACTGCTTATTAGCCTATATTGTAGAGTGAAGGTAACTAAAAACATTTTTGTCTAAAACTATTTTATTATATTAGATTTAGACAAACTTTTATTTCTAATTATTTAATTTGAATAGGTACAAGCTCTTAGTAGTAGAAGATCTGAGCTTAATATTTAAATTTAGTTAGTTCTTGTAATATATTTGGGATTGTTAACTATATATTAATAGTTAAAGTTTTGATTTATACCTTATATGTAGATTTTGTATATAGATTCTTTAACATGTTTGGATTATTAGTAATAAATATTATATTTACTTACTTTATGTATATTTATCTATTTTCTAAATATAATTAATATATTTTTTGCATGTATTTATTAGTTTATATCTTCTTTATACAAAGCTTTTTTTATTTTCTAATACTAATAGTATTAATAAAATTATATATTTTGATTAATTAATTATTATACAGTACTAAACAGCAAGAAACTTCCAATTTTTTTTAAAAAAGTGCTAAATTTTGAGATTTATACTCAAATCCGATTAGCTATTTTTGTATAACAAGATTCTGATTAGTTGAAAATCTATAAAAACAATTTTTTTATATATTAAACGCCAAAATTTTGATTACATAGTAACTTTAGACTTTAATAACTTATTAAATTTATAGTAAATATAAAGAACTATTCTAACAGAATTGCAGCTTAGACTAAAAGCAACAAATCTGTCAGACAAAGTTTTTTAAATTCATTTGTTTGTAAGTTATAAACATTTTTATATTTATATATAAAAAATAAATGTTTCTTGCTATCTGGTACTGTAGAAAATCATGGATAGATTTATCAAAATTAACCAATCATATAAATGTCTCATTATAAATAAACAATAATATATAAATAAACGTGTATATTTGTTTATTTCTGTGCATTGATAAACTCTGTTTTTAAATAAAATATAAATATGTTACAAAGTAATATCTGTAATAGTGATAACGATGATAGTAATGATAATAGTACTAATAGTTATCATTATACACAAAATAATATTGAAATTGAAAAAATTTCAACATATCCTTTAAATAATGTTATTGAATATAAAGAGCGAAAAAATAATAAACCGATAAGAAGGTTTACTTATATTATTGAACAAGAAGAAGTTTATCTGTCTAAAGATATTTTAGTAACAACTGGAATTAATTCACCAAACAAATCTAACAATTTTAAAATTCCTGATAATTATATAGTAAAAACTACTTGTAATACAGTAAAAATAAGAGAACAATACATTGTTCTATTAAATATAAGAACAAAAAACTAAATTTACAATTAATTATGGTAATGAGTTTGCAGAAACAGTAACTTCAACATTATCAGCATCAAACGCAGCACTTATTTATCAACAAGTATATAATATATGTTTTTAATAATATTATAGTTAATTAAACTCTTCCTATTAATTACTTACACCAAACCAAACCTAAAAACCAACAAGACAAAAATGATCATAACTTCTTAAATTATTAAGAGAACTTACTTTAATGCTCTAAGTAAACTTGTCTATCTATTCATTTTACATATACTATTAAAGTTTTATAAGTTTAGCTTGTAAACTCTCAAAAAACTTTCTAAAAAATAAAAAATTTACAAACTTAAAGTTTTCATAAATTATACTAAGGAAACTATCTACACTTCTTAATACAAACTTACTCAGCTCCTTTATACAAACATTTTGATATATAATACACTACAAACAAATTAAAACTTACTCAACTATAAATAAAACTTCTTTAACTCTTCTCTTACTATTTACTCTAAATTTTACTAAGTAAACCTCAGCTCTCACTTAGAACAAATTTGGTCTACTCATCAAGACGAACATTTTGATATATATTTTATCACAAATGGACAAAAATTAACAATTTACATCAAAACAAACTTTAAACTCTTTTGTTAAAAAACATACTCTTGTTCTAAAAATTTACTGGCAATTTTTCTGAAATTTTATTGGCTTGCCCCAGAAAATTCACTTTTTTCTACCCACTAAAATTTCCAAAGACCCAATAAATCCCAAAATTTCGCTCACTAAATTTGGAAAACTTACTGTACATCTCTGGAAAACTTACTGGCTATTTGAAATTTTATTGGTTTATATATTATCTAACAAAAATCAACTATATCTCAAAATTGTACTAAGTAAATCCTACCAGATGCTTAATTGAAATTTATTCCTGAGACAAAAATGCATATAATATCCAAATATTAGATCTATATCTTTCAAACTCATCAAGAAAATCAACAAAAAGCTACAAAATTTCTTCTCAATGTCTATAAATTATTCAATGAAAATTGATAATATCTCAAATTTTATTAAGCAAATCTCACCAGACTTTTTAATTGAATTTGTTCCTGAGTTCAAAATACATATTGTCCTAAAATATCAGATATCTATCTTTTAAACTCACAGAGAAAATCAACAAAACATCTTACATAACCTAAATTTACTCTTATACTTATACAACAAAAATTATACTATAACTCAAAAATTAATATAGTAAACCTTCTTTAATGTCTTAAGCAAACTTATTTCTTAAATAAATTTCAAAAATTTCAATACTTACACCCTAATATTCACTGGTTAAATCAACAAAACACCTAAAAATTCACTCATTAAATCTAACTAAAAACATGTCTCAATAAAGATTTCCTCACCATCAGCTTACTATTGACAATTCTTTGAACTGGTTTTAAGCTTTCCTATTGACAAAGAAGCTGAAAGCCAAACTCAATTTTCTACACCATTAGGTACACAGGTACTTGACTTCATTAA